TTTACAATATTTCACAGAGCTCCTGTAAAGAGGCCGTGGCTCCCCGGGGCGCCGCAGTGCACAGTTTGGGAATCACAGGATTAGGAAATACGTTGAAAGTGAGGAACGCTGGTAGAAAGTTGAGTAAGAACTACTTATGAAGGAGAGGGAGGGTGTTGAACCGATATCTAAATGAAGGCGACTCAACCTGCCCGTTCAGTGATGGTTCTAACTTCACTCACACTCGTTTAACATGTTAGCTTAAGCTCATCAACCAAACCAGACGTATGAGATTACGCAGCCTCAGTCATGCCATTCCTTGGCTTAAACCTTAATGACCCTATACTGAGAGGTTATTGCAGGTTGTTCCGTAACCTAACTTACACGCTCTCAGTGTCTCAACCAGAGTTGCTTACGGACTTACGCAGTCTCGGTCAGGGTTTTTTCCTTGAGTCATTAAGCCATGACGACCAGAGCCTGACAGCCTTTTTTGCTCATTCTTATCTAGGGCCGGTATTGCTTATAGGCATTAACATACATACACGAGTAAAAGTAGCATGACCAAGATGAAAGATAATTAGTAAAACCATTCTATATCTTTCTATGCCTATACACTTTCGTTTTTTAGTTTAGTATGTATAAGAGTTAGGATTGTGCCCGACAGAAAGCACATCTCAATTACTTTCTTGACTGTAAGCTAGATTTTATTTGGTGTGCTGTTAGGATTTCCCTTTTCTAGACAAGTTTGTCGCGATCGGGTTCTCTCAATTCACACGGCCCTTAACCTTGTTTTATTTTCAGATATTGGTTCAAATAATCTCAAGATATTCGCGCTTTAACATATGAACCGATTGTAGAAACGTTGCATACCTAGTAAGCCCCACAACACCTTAGGTGTTTTTCATTTCTAACTACCTCAAACGGAGTAGAGTGAATACATCTAACCTTAAGTGTTCGACAGGATAAAGTGGTTTATAATCTTAGTTCTTTGGTAGTAGGACTAACTTAGTGGTGATCATGGCTACCCACTAGCTGAACAGGCGGAACAAAGGGCTTTTTTCTCGGTTATAGTGAGAGGTGTAATTTAAGTGTTATTTTAAAGGATCCAACTGCCGACTTGAACCGTCGAAAATGGTTACAATTGGTCTACTAAGGTCTTTCATTATCCCATCCACCAAGTTATTAGCTTTATTTCTATCTATTTCAGTATCACCATTTATAGGCTTAGTTTTAAGATCCATAATAATCACTTCTTCAACGTTCCTAAAATCAATAGGCATCTGATGTACAAGAGGATGTTCGCGTGGACCCGCTTATTCTTCGAGATTGTAGGCCCCTCCTCACTACTGTATGTGCTATCTCGAGTGAAGAGACAGTCAGCAACACCGGTAATCAAGGCGCCGCGTATGAGTGCCTGCTCCGACATGAATCACATTCCAGCATGACGCCGGCTTGCCGCAATCGCCTGCTTGAGCTGCACTTTTTCATCACTCGAAACGTAGCCCTCGATTCGAACTTTAGAAGGTACGCTAATTTAGATTTTAGCTTAAATTTTCTTGACTTTATATATATTTATACACATTAGAGAGCTTATTAGGTGGGATTTAACCTAGTCCATTCGTACGGTTTCTATTTTTGGACACCTTGCGTTCAAATAACTAATGTACGTAAAACATTTTTTTGTAGTAATGATATTTTATCTTTTTTTGGCTCAGTTGGACATAAAGTACAAGACCAATTTTCATTCAAACTATCTATGCTTGCTATAACGTGGAGCTTTTCCATGCTATATTACCTATATCTCGATGGATTACTAGGTCAGTGCTCAGACCTATCTCTCCTAAGTAAAACTTGTGCAACGAAAAAATTAAGTTTAAGGTAAAATTTTGCTTCAGTATTATTGTTATTTTATCCAGAATACGTCTTGATTGCTCGTTACTTTCTGGCACTCCTCAAATATGGAATGTTTGGAGATAAATTAATTCTCACAACTAGGG